GCGGTGGCTCAAGCCTGTAATCCCAGCACTTTGGGAGGCAGAGGCAGGTGGATCACGAGGTCGGCAGATCAAGACCATCCTGGTCAACATGGTGAAACCCCGTCTCTACTAAAAATTACAAAAAATTAGCTGGGCACGGTGGCGTGTGCCTGTAATCCCAGCTACTCAGGAGGCTGAGGCAAGAGAATTGCCTGAACCCAGGGGGCGGAGGTTGTGGTGAGCCAAGATCGCGCCATTGCACTCCAGCCTGGGTAACAAGAGCGAAACTCCGTCTCAAAAAAAAAAAAAAAAAAAAAATCAAGAAGTCAATCCCATTTATAATAGCTATAAAAAATAAAAATAATAAAATACCTGGAAATACATTTAAGAAGCAAAAGACCTCTATAGGGAAAACTACAGTACACTAATAAAAGTAATTGAAGAGGATATGATGGTTTGGCTGTCCCCACCCATATTTGATCTTGAATTGTAGCTCCCATAATTCCCATGTGTTACAGGAGGGACCTGGTAGGAGATAACTGAATCATGGGAGTGGTTCTCCCATATTGCTCTTGTGACAGTGAATAAAATCTCATGAGCTCTGATGGTTTTATAAGGGGAAACCCCTTTCACTTGGCTCTCTGATTCTCTCCTGCCACCACCACTTATGTAGTGCCTTTTGCCTTCCGCCATGACTGTGAGGCCTTCTCAGCCATGCAGAACTGAGTCTATTAACCTCTTTTACTTTATAAATTACCCAGTCTCAGATACGTCTTTATCAGCAGCATGAAAACAAACTAATACAGGATACAAATAGAGAGACATCCCTTGAGCTCAAATCAGAAGAATTAATATTATAAAATAACTATACTACCCAAAGCACTCTATGGATACAATGTAATTCCTACCAAAATACCAATGACATTCCTCACAGAATTAGAGAAAGCAATCCTAGGTGAGGCACAGTGTAACCCTAGCACTTTGGGAGGCTGAGGTGGGTGGGTCATTTGAGGTCAGGAGTTTGAGACTAGCCCGACCTACCTGGTGAAACTCTTGTCTCCACCAAAAAATAAAAAATAAAAAATAAAAATAAATAAGCTGGCTGTGGTAGTGTGCACCTATAATCCTAGCTACTTGGGAGGCTGAGGCACGAGAATCACTTGAACCCGGGAAGCAGAGGTTGCAGTGAGCTGGAGTGCACTTTAGCCTGGGTGACAGAGTGAGAACTTGTCTTAAAAAAAAAAAGAAAGAAAGAAAAAGAAAAAGCAATCCTAAAATTAGTACAGAACCACCACAAAAGAACCCACAGGCAAAGCAATACTGAACCAAAATAATAAAGCTGGATCCATAATACTACCTGACTTCAAAATATACTACAAAACTACAGTAACCAAAATAATGTGATAGTGATATTTAAAAAAACATGGACCAATGGAACAGAATAGAGTCATGGAAATCTAGGTATTTATAGCCAACTGATTTTCAACAAATGTGCCAAGAACAAACATTGGGGAAAGGACAACCTCTTCAATAAATGGTGCTGTGAAAATTGGATATCCATATGCATAAGAATGAAACTAGACTCCTGTCTTTCATCATAGAAAACTCAGCTTAAGATGGATTAACAACTTAAACATGAACCCACAACTATGCAAATACTATAAGGAAAAACACTCTAGGACATCTAGGCAAAGATTTTATGGCTAGGACCTCAAAACCACAGGGAACAAAAACACACAAATAGGATTACATTAAGCTAAAAAGCTTCTGCACAGCAAAGGAAACAATCAACAGAGTAATGAGACAACCTGCTGAATGGGAGAAAATACATGCTAACTACTCATCCGATGAGGGACTAATAGCCAATATGTACAAGAAACTCAAATAACAGCAAAGAAAAAAAATCCTGTTAAAAAGGTGGTAAAGGATCTGAATAGACATTTCTCAAAAGAAGACATGCAAATGGACAAAAGATACATGAAAAGATGCTCAACATAACTAAATATCAGGGAAATGCAAATCAAAACCACAATGAGTTATCAACTTACCCCAGTTAAGATAAGACTACTATCAAAAGACAAAAAATTAACAAATGCTGGTGAGAATGTGAAGAAAAGAGAACTTTTAGACACTGTCAGTTAGAATGTAAATTAGAATAGCTACCATGGAAAACAATAATGGAGGGTCCTCAAAAAACTAAAAATAGAATTACCATATCCTCCAGCAATTCCACCACTGGTATTTATCCAAAAGAAACAAAATCAGTATATCTAGGCAATATCTGCATTCCCATTTTTATTACAGCACTATTCACAATAGCCTAGATACGGAACCAAACTAAGTGTCCATCAACAGATGAATGAAGTTGCAGATTTCATCAATATGATATAATTTATATAAAAACTTAAATGCTATACACTGTTTATGGCTACATATCTATAAAAAAAAGTATAAAAACATGAATAGCAAGGATTCACATAGCTTGAGGATCCTGGTTATACTTCTGAGGTAAGAGCGCGTGGAATGGGATAGTGGAAGACACAAAGTTTCGACTATATCTGAACATTTTAGTTCCTAAAAAGGTCTGAAACAAGTGTGACAAAATGTGATTAGCACTTAAATATGGGTGGTGGGAACAGAGATGTTCATTATGTTGTATTCTTTCTTTTCTATATGTTTGAAATATTTCAAAGAATAAAATAAATCACTCTGCCCTATTTATGCAGAATGAAATGGAAGAGAACATGAGTGAAACAAGAAGCTCTTCTAAGAGAGCATTTGTAGAAGTCCTGGCTATAGTAATGGTAACCTAGAATAAAGATAACAACAGCAAGATGAAGAGAAGTCGATGAATGTGAGATGATACGAAGAACAATTTATAAGATGTATTGATGGAATGGGTATGAGGAGTTTGACGGAAGAAAGAATCAAGGTTAACTTCAGCTAAAGCAACATGTAGGTATAGATGTCACTTACTCAAATGGGGAAAACTGGGCAAGGAACCACTTAGGGGGCATGAAAGAATCCTGTTTTATGTTCATATTTTATTTCTCCTACTCAGACATAAGCTCTTTATGGGGAGAATCTGTCTGCTGTATCTTTGTATCCTCCAAAGTTCAGAATGTAACTAAGGTGAATCAATGTTATACACAATGCCTAAATCCTTTTGAAAACCAGACAAACCTCTTTAAAAGTATCCGTTTTCAAAGAAATTTTATATCATTTAGTATTACAATAAAAGATAAAAACATTTCAAGAAGTTCCCACAAAAGTTTTCCCACGCAGCTGATTCAGATTGTTAAGGCCCATAGAAATTTATGCGTTCCATTTTCTTCCCAAATCATTTTAATCAGTTTCATATGATTCTACCAGTTCAACAGATTATAAGGTATGCAATATTATAAGGTATATTACTATAAATGGGATACAATTTATAATAGGGTTATTATACAGTATATCCTTATAAACTACTAGTTATGCATTGTTTTAGTTATATAGTTTATACAGCCCCTTATCTGGCTTAGGTATACTACAACCTTGATAAGTAGGCAGGACATTCTGTAATGTCAGTGCAGAGCTGGAATTCACACCTAAAGCATCAGGCAGCAATTCTAGAATTTGTCATTTTAATAATAATGAAACTGATGCTTGAAGAAGTTAAGTGACTTGGCCAAAGATATAAAGTTAATAATCATAAGCTAATTTGGCTGTCCGTAAGGAACTGACGCTATCCTAAGCTTAACATGAAAATACACAATGAAAAACTCAAAATGTATCCAAAAGATAGATTCTGATTCTTTTGCTTACTTTTGAAGTCAGAATCATATGACACAGAAGATTCTTCCACTAATACTACATAATCAGAACAGTGAAAGTAAAATCATGTTTCAAAGGATCATTTAACTAAGTGTGTTTTCCCTAGGATAAAAGGTAACCAAGTTTCTTTAGAGGGAAATTGACTGTATCTAAAAAGTAATACTTGAGTATATCATAATACCACAAGTTTCAATTACTGTTTTTATGTTTTTCAAAACCAAAACAAGTATAGGTCAACCTCTGCATATTGGCAACTACCCCTTTTTTAGTGAACCATGAAAACTGATGAGTGTTAGGTCCTAGGTCAATTTTTAATGTCAAACACAGTAAGTGATGTGACTTTAACCAACTTCAGAGTAGCTTTGTGCTTATACATCCCCCTCTCAGTTTATCCTATTAGCTTAGACTATTTGGGAAATGTGGGGGAACATATTAAAAAGTAGTTCGGAATTCAACAAAGTACTCAAAGCTTTATGTATAAATATCCCATACAAATAAATCAGAGATTTAACTGTTTTATCCTAACAGTTCAGAAATGGCATTTTTGAGTGTCAAAGGCAAATTCCAAAGGACTTAGGAAAACTGCTATAATTTTTAAAACATGAGAATATAGTCATTTAAAAATATACATAATCCATGTTTTTTGCAATGCTAGTTCTGTTGCTGGATTTACATAAATTTGTTTGTGTCAAGTTTATTTCTCTGTTGTATGGGATACATCTAAACAGAAACAAAACTGAGTTCAAAGGCATAATGAGTATACTTATCTCTTCTTAAAGTCAATATTAGATTTGATTTGATTTTAGAAACAATGAGAAACCAGTGATAGCTACTGCACAGGGTGTGACACTGTGAGAGAATGCTTCAACAGGACAGCTTTGGCTGTAATGCAAAGAACGGGTAGTCCAATGACAGAGACAGGAGGGTATTAGAACTTAGAGACGGGTATGTGTTCTAATAGTCTGGGTCAGGAGAGAACTTTATAACAGCACAGATTCCTGGGTCCCACCCCTGGAATTCTGAGTCAATGGGTATAAAGCTAGTCCTCATAATTCTAGGTGAAGAGCTAAACATGAATGACTGGTAGGAAGTTAAACCATCAAAGAGAGAATATCCTTGATGCTGACCCTTTTAGAAGAGTATCAGAAACCCATTAAAATTATAAGCAGATGCTTCATTTTTACCACAAATGAATAATGACTCACCTGGATCAGGGTCATATTTTAGGTCCAGTGGATGTACAACAGGGTGGTACTGCTTCTAAATATAACATAAATTAAAACAGATTTAATCACTTAATGCTTCATATAAACACCTCTTTCAGCTAGTATGGCAGATATACTGCAGTCAATAGTGCCATTCTTTTGAGGAAAAAAATTAAATCCTACAGTCTGTAGGGAAGAGGAGGAGAGAAGGTAAAACCAAACTAAGTCTGAATTATGTCTTTTACGGTACTGCCACCTACTGCATACAATAAGAAGTGGCACCATAAAAAAAGTATAATCAGGAAGAGCAATCAAGCAAATTAAAAGCACAGAGATTGAATTTTATGTTTTAAATGCAGGGTAGTCTCCAATCATGAATGGACTGTGTTTCAAAAGTTCATTCAGGACAAGTGTTTGGAACTCAAAATGCATACTTCCATGAAAACTTGGCTCTGAAAAGTGGTGAGGCTACATTACCACCACACTAAGCCTATATATCCTGTGACACACTGAAATTATAGTAGCAGAATTGCTGACATAATCTACAATTCAGGCAAAAAGAGGAAAAATTCTTCCTTATTCTTGTCTAAAGCCAGCAGAAACCAAAAAGGTTAAAAGAAAGCAAGCAAGAAGAAAAAAAAGTCTGGTCTTCAGCCAGCTATAGTGGCTCACACCTGTTATCCCAGCACTTTGGGATGCCCAGGCAGGAGAATGGCTTGAGCCCAGGAGTCTGAGACCAGTCTGGGCAACAAGGAAGGAAGAAGGGAGGAAAGTTACAGGGCAGGGCAGCACAGGAAAAACTTTTAAAAGGTCCTTGGTATCCTTACCTTATCCATTTTACATCATTTTTTAAACCACCACAGCAGTACCTCACCTAGGTCTGTCATTTTTCTTTAATGCAAGACTGATTACTAGTTTTAGGGGTTTGGGGGTAGTGGGGCAGTAAAAAGGGAGACACTGAAAAATACACTTTGAATGTTTTTCCTGAAAAAAACTTTCAAGTGGGGGAAGTGATAGAATGGAATACTTGAGAACGGCTATAAAAAAATTAAAAATTCTGTTCATGAATATTGTTTTTCATAGAATGAGAACTAAAATGTTACATAAAGTATTAAGCCTGGACTTTAATGCCCTGAAACAATCCTGAAACCGAGGCAACTAGAAGATTTATATGTGAACATATGTACTAATTATTTCAAAAACTAAGGGCAACAGTATAGTATAATCTAAAAACAACGTGTACCTCACTGGAGGTGCAATGCTATTCCCAGCAAACCTCCCCCTCCCACCAAGGGAAGATCTGGGTCCAATTTTCTTGTGTATTTCCTACTTTTTAAAAATTCCAGTCCTGATAAATCTAAAAAGATGAGGGTGTGATACGGTTGGTCACATATCTACAGTAATTATAAGAAGGAAGTCTATGGCTCTGCTTGTCTAAAAAGCTCATGCTGAAGGAGCTGACTTCCTGGTCTTGTGACACAGATGGTCATGATTTTTGCAGCAAAACAAATTACACCCAATTCATAAAATAAACTTCAGTGCTATGAACACTGAAGGTACTCAAACTCTCTTCATCATCAATTTAACTAAAGGGCCTTCTGAAATATACAAACATACAAATATATGCCAAAAACAAATGACAAACAGAAAGAAAAGTGTTAAAAGCTTCCTTTTCCATTGGTCTCAGAATCATAAAGTCATTGTCAGTTTTCCATCGTCAATTTCCATTTTAACCACTCACTGTACCTTTCATTTTTTTCATTTTTGAACCAGTGTGTTCAAAACATAGTATGACTTGGAAGAAGCAATCTTGAAAGAGACAATACTAATTCAGGCAGGAAAGAAAGAAACAACAAAATGTCATTTATCTCCAAGTAAAGCCTTGTATTTTAATGTTTTTATTGTTTTAAAATATACAATTTTAAAAGGCAAATCATCTTACCAGAAGTTCTTGTTTTGCTTTTATGGTTTTGATGACACATTCCAGGATCTTTCTGGGATACTGCTTACGTTTTGTGGCTATGTCTACTATGATTTCATCAAACTGATCTTCCAGTACTTTGATGTCAGAATCTATTTGAGGAAAAAAAAAAAAGTATATCTAAAAAGTTCCCAAAACTCATTGTTTACATACTGTATGGAACTGTGTTATAAACCAAATTTAGAAAACACAAAATAATGAAGGAAAAACAAATATGGCAAGTTAATAGATGCCCCCACTTTGGTGACTGATTGATTTACGCATTGAACAATCAATTATCGAGCATCTAGAAGAGGCGAGGCCTCACAAGAGAAAAACAAAGATGAGCACAACATAAGAGTTCACAGATTGCTGGAAGAAACAGATAACTGCAAGGCAACCTGATAAATGCAATAGAGGTATGAACGAAATGCCATCAGGACACAGAACAATGGAAAACTGACTGACTGGGAAATGTAAGACTTGAGCTTGAAGTAGAAGTGTAAGTCCAATGGATTAAAAACTAGTAGGGGAAAAAGGAATGGAGAAAAGCATTTCAGGCAGAAGAAACAGTATTTGCAGGATCCTAGTCTCTGGGGACCTGAGAAAAGTTCTAAATTGCTACAGATTAAAGAAAAAATGGAGATGATTAAAATATATAAGAACCAGACTGTAAAGGGTATTTAGCCTCAGGGATGCTAAGAAGTTTTGGCTTATTTTGTACTGAACCAAAGCTATGACAGTAGCCGTGAGTGGAGTAACAAGATCTGAAATAGGGCTCAGCTGGACTGACGGTAGGAAAAACTGAAGATATTGTGAGTTTAGAGTTTCTTTCATTTAGCTAACTGCATTTTATCACGTTTTTTCATGTTTTAAAATAGTGATTCTCAAACTTTAGTAGAATAATCACCTGGGTAGTATGTTAGGGGTACAGAATTTTGATTTAGTATGTCTGAGATGAGGCCCAGAAATGAAGTGCCCTAGATGAAATGAATGTAGGTGATCCATCTAACTTAATTTTGAAAATCATTTTAAAGAGTGAAAATACTAAGTAGTTACAAATACTAAAGAGCTAAGTCCTCAGCTTAAATGGTCTACTTCATATTGCTCTGTTGTGTCAAAATCTATGTTAGAAATTGACCTATTTATTTTATTGATCATAAACTTTATTAGGAAGAAATCTGATGTCTGAAACATAATTTTTTGAAATATTTTGAGAAATTGCTGATATGTTTCAGCACATACATATCAGATAAAGATTAATCAAGCATATCAGGTATACTTTCTTTCATGTAACAAATATTATTTGATTCCCACTAAATTAGTTCTTTTGAGGGTACCCTTTTTTTTTTCTTTTTCTCTTTCCTTCCTCCTTTCTCTTTCTTTCCCTCTCTCTCCTTCCCACTCTGCCTCCCTCCCTTCCTTTCCATCTTCCTTTCCTGTCTTCTTTCCTTTCCTTTCCTTTCTTCCCTCCTTCTTTCCTAGCTAGATAGATACATTTTCAATAGCTTTTGAGGTGTAAGTGGTTTTTGGTTACATGGATGAATACATAGTAGTGAAGTCTGAGATTTTAGTGTGCTCATCACCCAAGTAGTATACATTATGAGGGTACCCTTCTTTTGAGGGCAAGAAATAACAGTTATTCCTTACTCTGAATAATTATTTAAATGAGCAGCCCTCCCTAAATTTTCATTTATTCATTACAAAAGTTAAATCATTAGCCTGAAGAAAATAATGTACTATTCACAATCAGTTAAAAAAAAAAAAGTATTCCAGCTAAATCTTTTCTGTAGAGAGGAAAATGTTTTCTTAGCACCACCAAATGATAAAGCGACAACCAAAACGTATAGTGAAATCTGAACAGGAGCCGGCTGCAGTCCTGTAATCCCAACACTTTGGGAGGCCAAGGAGCCTGGCCAACATGGTAAGATCCCGCCTCCATTAAAAATACAAAAATTAGCCGGGCGTGGTGGCAAGCACCTGTAATCCCAGCTACTTGGGAGGCTGAGGCATGAGAATTGCTTGAACCTGGCAGGTGGAGGTTGCAGTGAGCTGAGGTCATATCACTGCATTCCAGCATGGGCAAGAGTGAGACTCTATCTAAAAAAAAAAAGTGAACAGGAAAGAACGATTCATTAATTTAACATATTTCATAGGTGCCTACTATGAGCCAAGAGTTGAGAACAAGGTTGGGCGCAATGGCTTATATCTGTAATTCCAGCACTTTGGGAGGCGGAGGCAGGCGGATCATTTGAGGGTAGGAGTTTGAGACCAGCCTGGACATGATGAAACCCATCCTCTACCAAAATACAAAAATTAGCTGGGTGTTGTGGCACATGCCTGTAATCCCAGCAACTCAGGAGGCTGAGGCAAGAGAATAGCTTTAACCTGGGAGCCAGAGGTTGCAGTGAGCTGATATTGCATCATTGCATTCCAGCCTGGGTGACAGAGCAAGACTGTCCCAAAAATGAAAAAGAAAATTTGTCTTTTTAAGGAGCCTTCTACAAAGATGTAAGCTCATCCTTCACATGGTACGAATATAGTTTAACTTTACACTTCTAAGGGTACTTCACTATTCACTCTAGAGATCACTTATAAAAATACGACTTGCTTTGTAAATAATTACAGAAATTCCCTAAGCCTCTTTCATCATCTAGAGATAGCTCTATGGTATTTTCCAATAAATTATTGACAAGACTATTGAAGTCATAATCTCAGTTCTTTATTATTCCCCTAGTAAAGAACTTCTTAAAAACAAATGACACTGAAAATGGAGATTAAAAAACAGCATTCAAAACAAAATTAGCTGCTAAAATAACCCAGAAATTAATAACAGATGGAAAAAGTTAAGTCACATACCCAGAAAACAATTATCTGAAGCTTCCTGCCATGCTTGCCCATTAATGCTGACATTCTCGTGCACAGCTGATTCAAAAGTCTGTAATAAATTCACAATAGTCAAGTCACTAAAAATCACTTTAAATACTCAGTTCAAATGTTTTGGGAAAATAACACTTCAAGATTTGTGACAGAGGATATAAAGAAAGGTAGCAGAATAGCTTATTAGTATATTATTCTCTTCAATGAAGATTCCAGTTCAATCATTGATCCTACCTACATTTGGGTCTCATAGCCATTATGCTACCCAAGAGAAAAATCTGATACAAAATTTTGGAATATTCTTGAAACTGAAAAATATGGACTCCTAGAATGAAAGAAAAAATAAAATCTAACAAATTTAGGCTCTGTTGAATCTCAGGGGTACAAGTACTATATATGCTGCTGATGTTAACAAGAGGAAAAATATACATCCTTAAAAATAAAATTAATTTATATTTATAAAGGACTATATTTCTGAGAGATGAACACTTAAGTATGCAGGGATGAAATGACATGAGATCTAAGATTTGCTTTGAAATGGGAAATGTAGGCCAGGTGCAGTGGCTCATGCCTATAATCCCATCACTGGGAGGCCAAGGCAAGAGGATTGCTTGCGGCCAGTTCCAGACCAGTCTAGGCAACATAGTGAGACACCCTTCTCGACCAAAAAATTTAAAAATTAGCCAGGCACAGTGGCACATGCCTGTAGTCCCAGCTACTTGAAAGGCGGAGGCTAGAGGATCACTTGAGCCCAAAAGTTTGTGGTTACCGTGAGCTATGATTGCCACTGCACTCTAGCCTGGGAAACAGGAGGGAGATGCAAACTTTGCAATTTTGACAACTGTTGAGTTTGATGGTAGATATATGGTGTCCACTGTACTAATTTTTTGTATGGTCAAAAATGTTCATAATACACTAAAAGATAACTAAAATACAAAAAAAAATAAAAATAAAAAATAGGCAAATTGGACTTCATCGATTTTTTTTAAATAATAAAGGACTAAAGGAATTCTGCAGTACACATTCCCTATTACTCAACAATTTCACGTCTAGCAATGTATCCTAAAGGACTACTCTCATAAAAGCATACAGAGAATGTGCTGGAAGTGTTCATTTCAGGACTGTTTGAATTTTTTTAAATTGTGGGAAAAAAACCGAATTCAAAATTAGAAGAGTTAAATAGACAATATTCATACCACATAGTACCTAAAAAGAATGAAGACAACCTCTACATAACACTGACAAGTAATAGTCAAAGACTTGTTTGGTTTCAAAAAAGGCAGGTCAATAACAATTCATCAGAATGACAATATTAATGTAGACAAACAAACATAAACAGAGAGAAAGAGGTAAAGCCATAGAAAGGGGTATAGAAAGTTTACTCTCCCCGAGTACGCTCCAAAATAGTATGTCACGTCCTAGAAGGAAAAGGGATAGGGAAGGGAAGCTCAAAGAATTTTACTTTATGCTATTGTTTGAATTTTTTATGAGCATGTATTTTGTACCCTTTGTATAATTAAAAATAACATAAACCAAATGACTGATAATTATGAGTTAAAGTACATATTCTACATTTCAAAGATTTCATAAAGTAAAATCCTTATTTTATTATTTTTTTTTTTTTGAGACAGAGTTTCGCTTTTGTCACCCAGGGTGGAGTGCAATGGTGCCATCTTGGCTCACTGCAACCTCTGCCGCCCAGGTTCAAGCGATTTTCTGGCCTCAGTCTCCTGAGTAGCTGGAATTACAGGCATACACCATCACCCTCGGCTAATTTTTATATTTTTAGTAGGACGGGGGTTTCACCATGTTGGTCAGGCTGGTCTCGAACTCCTGATCTCAGGTGAGCCACCTGCCTCGACCTCCCAAAATGTGGGGATTACAGGCGTGAGACACCACACCTGGCCTATGTACATTTTAATTATTTCTAGAATTACTTTGAAGAATTGCTGAGAAAATATATTGTCTCTGTAATATTCATTGCAGACTTCTAGCAATACCATTTTTAAAGAAAATCTGCTACTTAATATTACGCAGTTTTAAACAGAGATGCAACATAAAGCTTCTGCCTTATTTAAAATAAAACACAAGTGAATTTCTGTGGGAGTCTAAGTCCTGGAAACTTTATCTTATAATTCACTTTATCAACCCATTAAACAGAATGTAATAGGTTAAAGCCAAGTTCCTCTTGTTCTGTAAGACACATAAATTTTTTAAATACCTTAGCACTTCCTAGAATCAGACAAATTTTAAGATCATTATATAACGTCTTCTCCCAAAAAACTACTAAAAACGTCCTGAGATATATCTCTATTCTTGCCTTGCTTGCAAGAAGAAATGACATAAGACCTACTATATACAAAACTGCATACACAACCCAGGAAGTGTTTCTTCATTCTTCCACTTAACCTTTATTTTTACTGTTTGCACCGTGGTCATTTACAACTCACAAATGTGCTGTATTATAAGCTTTTAATTTTTTCCCTCTACATATAAGTAGATTGGTGCCTGTCATAAGGAAGCACATAACCTCTTTATTTCTTGTCTTCCCAAAAAACTAACACCTTCAGGGGTGTGCAAAACATTTAAGAAAGGCTGGGGAAATGCGGTATAAGGACCAATGTGCGATCTTAGTAAAGTTTACAACCAACGTAAAATTTTTTAAAACCTATTTCAGGCCGGGCGCGGTGACTCAAGCCTGTAATCCCAGCACTTTGAGAGGCCGAGGCGGGTGGATCACAAGGTCAAGAGATCAAGACCATCCTGGTCAACATGGTGAAACCCCGTCTCTACTAAAAATACAACAAATTAGCTGGGCATGGTGGCGCGTGCCTGTAATCCCAGCTACTCAGGAGGCTGAGGCAGGAGAATTGCCTGAACCCAGGAGGCGGGGGTTGCGGTGAGCCTAGATCGCGCCATTGCACTCCAGCCTGGGTAACAAGAGCGAAACTCCGTCTCAAAAACAAACCAACCAACCTATTTCAAAGTTCCCAGGAAAATGTTTTCACTCTAAAACAGACAAAACGAAAGATTCATCCACCCAAATGCTGGCTGGGTGAATAACCAATTTTCAGAATTACCCTTTCCAGGAGTATTCCTCATAGTCTACGGCTGCGTTGTCCAACATGTGAGCCACTAGACACTTTGTAGTTACTGAGCACTTAAATGTAGCTAGTTCGAAAGATGTGCGGTAAATGCGAGACACCAGATTTGAAAAGCTTAGTACGAACAAAAGAATGCAAAATATCTCATTCATTTGATATTATTACATATTAAAGTATCTTGGATTTACTGGATTAAACAAAATGTTTTACTTCCATTAACTTCACCTATTTCTTACTTTTAATTTAAAATTATGTAAAGTTCAGCTTGTTTTGTATTTTCACTGGGCAGCGCTGTTTCAAATAATAATACCCAGCTGACATCATCTATTTCTTTCTCCCCTCGCGTTTCTCGCACTGGTTCTACCGTTGCCTGGGACACCGTAATTCTACCGAGGCCTGGCATGGGATCTTTCAGAATCGTAAGACCCGGGGAGTTGGGTAGGGGGTGATAAGTAAAGAATTGGCTAACTGGGCCCGTACCCACTGCGCATCTCGCAGCACGGGCTCCCGGATCTCCTCCGGCAGAGAGTCCCCGAGCTTTTGCACGAAGCGGCCGCACAGTTGTAGGATTTCGGTCACAGCCCGTTTCGAGGTGCACCGCACCCGAAAGTCCTCTCGGGGAGTGGCAGAAACCAAGGCTTGGCTGTCTGTCCCAGCCACTAGCTCCTTGTCCCACGGCGGGTCAAAGCCCACCAATTCAGAAGACCGCGCCATTTTTTGTCGGAACTGCGGACGGGACTCTGGGAGCGGAAAAGCGGGTTCCTACTGGTGTAACAAGCATGCATCCGCCTAGGAACTTAGGACGCCGCAGCCAAAACGTTCCGGCCCCGGCTCTGTGGGCGCGTCTAAAGCGGCGGCTGCCGGGCGCGATGGGCACGGTGGGCATAGGGTTGGTGGACTGTCACTGCCACCTCTCCGCCCCGGACTTCGACCGCGTATGTGAGGGGGATGCGGGGCCCGAGGGAGCAGGGAGGCCCCCGTCCTTTCCTCTCGCGTTATCTTTGCTCTCCTCCCTTGGGACCAAAGCCCATCTCTGCCAGCAGACCCTTGTTTATGGCCATATGACCCTCCCCTCATTTCCCGATTCCCTATTTAACTTCAGACATACCGATTTTTTTTCCCCTGATGAAGTCGCTGTAAGCTATCTCCACAAGGCTTTTGTTTGCTCTTCTGAGTTCCTGGAATCGTTCCCCCACCGCCCCTTGACTGGCCTGTTTTTCCGTTCGGGCCTCTCACCTCCGTAGCTGAAACGCCACTTCCTGGGAAGCGGTCCTCAAATCGCGTTCAAATCCGGGAGAGGTCAGGCGCGGGCCCACGCCTGTAATCCCAGCACGTTGGGAGGCCGAGGCAGCGCGGCGTATCGCCTGAGTCCAGGAGATCGTGACCACCCCTGGGCAACATGGTGGAACCTCGTCTCTACAAAAAAATACAAAAATTAGCCGAGGGTGGTGGCGCTTGCCTGTGGTCCTAGCTACTCGGGAGGCTGTGGTGGGAGAGTCATTTGAGCCCAGGAGATGGAGGTTGTAGCGAGCTGAGATCACTGCATTCCAGCCTGGGTAACAGAAAAGAAAGGAAGAGAGAGAGAGAGAGAAGAAAAAGGAACGGAAAAAAAATTATATATATATACACACATACATACATACATACATACACACACAATGGCCGGCTGTGGTTGCTCACACTTGTAATCCGAGCACTATGAGAGTCAAAAGCAGGCAGATCGCTTGACTCCAGGAGTTCGGAGACCAGCCTGGGCAACGTGGTGACACCTCGTCTTAATTAAAATAATAATAAAAATAATACAAACATAAAATTAGTTACAAACTGTTCTACCCATTACATGGGAAACTACAGACTAATGAAAGAAAAGTAAGGGGGATTTTAATTCAGAAGGAAATCCTCCCAGGAGCTGACACTTACGGCTGAGAAGACAAGGAGCCACCCAAACCAGGGGGTGGCTGTATGCTGGTAATGAAAACAGACAGGTTGCAGGTCCCCAGACAAGACAGAATTTGGCACATTCCAGCTGCACAAATGCTGAATGGAGCTTGATGAGCTAGAAAAAGAAAGGCATGAAACAAAACTGGAGAGGTTTGCAGGGGATAGGTGAGGTAGGTCAGTAAGGAATTTGGATTGCATTTGAAGAACAATGTGGATTCATTAAAGGACTTTTTAAAAAAGAGAGAGTGACAAGATCTGCTATCTTTTTTCTTTTTCTTTTCCTTTTTTTTTTTTTTTTTTTTTGAGAGAGAATCTGGCTGTGTCACCCAGGTTAAAGTGCAATAGTGGCACAATCTCAGCTCGCTGCAACCTCCCTCTCCTGGGCTCAGGCGATTCTCCTGTCTCAGCCTCCCAAGTAGATGGGATCACAGGTGTGTACCACCACACCTGGCTAGTTTCTTGTGTTTTTAGTAGAGATAGGGTTTCACCATGTTATCCAGGCTGGTCTTGAACTCCTGGCCTCAAGTGATTAACCCGCTTCAGCCTCCCAAAGTCCTGCGATTAAATAAAAATGGCTAGGCATGATGCTATCCATTTTTACACCATTATGCTGCTGTAAGGCAAATGGATGGTGGAGAAGAGTGGAAGCTAGAAGACTAGTTAGGAGGCTTTTGCAGTATGTAGGCGAGAGATGTTGGTTGTTTGTACTGTGATGTTAACACGTGAGTTTGAGAGAAATACATGGATTCAAGATACATTTTAGAGACACAATCCACAGTACGTACTGAAGAATTGTGTGTGGATGGCAAGGGAAAGGGAGGAATCAAGGATGGCTCAGATTATTAGCTAGTACTTTAGGGAAGATGGTGGTGCTGTTTACTGAGATAAGGGAAGACCAAGTTCTGAGGTGGAGGTGGGGAGGTAGGCAGAAAGAATAGGTTTGTGGGGAGAAAATAAAGATTTGTATTTGGGGCATATTGGGAAGCCTAATCCCATTCCAGTGGAGATGTCATAATTTTTAAATGTGAGTCATGGGTTCAGGAAAGAGTTATAAAATAAAGATAAAAATTGAGGACTCAGGCCAGGTGCAGTGGCTCATGCCTGTAATTCCAGCACTTTGTGAGGCTGAAGCAGGTGGATCACTTGAGGTCAGGAGTTCAAGACCAACCTGGACAACATGGTGAAACCCCATCTCTACTAAAAATACAAAAATTAGTTGGGTGTGGTGGCAGTCACCCGTAATCCCAGCTACTCAGGAGGCTGAGGCAGGAGAATCGCTTGAACCCGGGCGGTGAAGGTTACAGTGAACCGAGATCATGCTATTGCATTCCAGCTAGGAGACAAGAGCAAAATGTTGTCTCAAACAAAAAAAAATTGGAGACTCAGCATAATGATGATACTAAAACCATGACAGGAAGTGAGATTACACAAGGCAAGTGCAGAGAAAGGAGCAGAGGTTCTCGAAGTCAGAAAGAGGAAGGGGAGGCTGTCAAGGCGACTGAAAAGTAGCCACCAATGAGAGAATGGTGTTACAGAAGCAAAGAGTGGAAATCATTTTAAGGAGGAAGGAGTAAGGAAATGAGGGATTCCAAATGCTGTCGAGGATGTAAGATGAGGACAGAGAAATACCCTGTATATTTGAAAATAGAGGTTTCTCTTTTAGTGTTGGGAACAGAAGCCAGACTTCACTGAGAGTGAGAGTAAACAGGAGGTGGGTCCGTGTAGGCTCCTTGCTTTCCACTACTCCATTTGTTGCTATCATTGCCATTCTTTGTGATGCCTCAATTACATTGACATATACGGTCCAAGATTAGTTACTTATTCATCTAAATTAATGGTGATTTCTTATGCATGTTTTAGGATTTGGATGATGTGTTGGAGAAAGCAAAGAAGGTAAGTCAATATTTGTAATTGCTCTTTTGGTTTTTTATTTTACTGTTATTTCAAGCAAAGACAGCTTGAAATTTCAATATACTACCTTGATGTTGTTTCAGTAATTTATGATAAGTAGCATTTTTAATTTTATTTGTTTATTTATTTATTTATTGAGATGGGGTCTCAGTCTGTTGCCCAGGCTGGCGTGCAGTGGCGCAGTCTCAGCCCACTGCAACCTCTGCCTCCCAGGTGCAAGTGATTCTCCAGCCTCAGCCTCCCGAATAGCTGGGACTATAGGCGCGCATCACTGCACCCAGCTAATTTTTATATTTTTAGTAGAGACAGAGTTTCACCATGTTGGCCAGGCTAGTCTCAAACTCCTAACCTCAGGTGATCTGCCCACCTCAAACTCCCAAAGTGCTGGGATTACAGGCATGAGCCACTGTGCCCAGCCAATTTGTATTATTTATAATTAAAATAGAGACAAGGTCTGACTGTGTTGCCCAGACTGGTCTCAACCTCCTGAGCTCAAGCATCTCAAGCTCCCAAAATGCTGAGATTATAGGCATGAGGCCCTGTTCCCAGCCTAAGTAGCATTTATTAAGTGTTTGCCACATGCTGGGTACTGAGCTAAGGCCTTTCTGGACTTTACCTCATTCAATAATTCACAACAGCCTTCTGATTATTTTATAGCCAACCATTTCCCATTTTACAGATGAGGAAACTAAGGCCTAGAGATTAGTAACTGGTCCAAAGACACATGCTAGTGAAGTGATAGAGACAAGTTAGTCTGAATTCAAAACATGTTCCCATAGCTACCATGCTCAACAGCACTATGGAACAAACTGGTCATCTTTCAGTTTTTAAATTCATGTGATTCTGGAGATGTAGGCTATATTATAAAAGTTTTCTGAAATGTTTTGATTTGTTTGGAAAAATTATTTTTTTTGGAAGTGTTTGTTAAATTCATTGTAACTAGCATTTTGTGGCCATCTCAGAAAATGATAGAGCCAGAAATGGTTCTAGTACATTTTTACATACAGCAAGCTTTCTCTATGGTAGAGAAATTAGGAATGTGGGCTTTGGACCTGATATATAGACCTGATGTCCCTGGGCAAGTTATTCAACATCCAAAACTCTGTCTTCTGATCTGTACAGTAGACTACAGTCTACTTTATAGGTTTCTGTAAATTAAATGATGCAATATTTATAGTCACTGAACATAGAGCCTGAAACATAGAAATACTCAATGATAGCCCTTCTGATTATATGGATGGAGCATGGGTGAACAAGGATAACTGAAATGCAGAGAAAACTTCAAGTTTTTATATAATTTATATAAAATGTGTATTGTTTGGAACTCTATTCTTTTTTTTTTTTTTTTTTCAGGCCAATGTTGTGGCCCTTGTGGCAGTTGCTGAGCATTCAGGAGAATTTGAAAAGATTATGCAACTTTCAGAAAGGTGCTACTTCTAATTAAGAGGGCTGCTAATAAGAACACAGTTGTGACATCCAGTTTATAATATCAAAGATCCATTTTTAAAGAGAATAAAGAGGGAAAAGCATTTTAACGTGGTCCTAAAAAGAGATTCTTTTCTACTTATTCTTTTTTTTTTAAGACTGAATCTTGCTCTGTCACCCAAGATGGAGTGCAGTGGTACAAAGTCAGCTTACTGCAACCTCTGCCTTGTGGGTTCAAGCAATTCTCTGCGTCAGCCACCCAAGTAGCTGAGACTACAGGCATGCACCACCAGGTCTGGCTAATTTTTGTTTTTTCTGTAGAGACAGGATTTTACCATGTTGGCCAGGCTGGTCGCGAACTCCTGGCCTCAAGTGATCCACCTTCCTCAGCCTCCCAAAGTGCTTGGATTACAGACATGAGCCACCATGCCTGGCCTCTACTTATTCTTTAGAATACATCGTAATCTACTCGTCTACTATTCCTGCTTTCTTAATTGGTTGTACATTTTTAGGTATAATGGGTTTGTTCTGCCATGCTTGGGTGTTCATCCAGTTCAAGGACTTTTGCCAGAAGACCAAAGAAGTGTCACATTAAAGGTAACAGTCATACAAAACAGGAACCATTAAAAACAAACAAACAAAAGAATTCTTTTACTCAATAATCCTCCTCTTTCTAATTTATATTCTCAGGAAATAATCCAAAAGAAGGAAACACTACCTTATTTCACAAAGATGTTTGTTGCAAGATTATTTGTAATAGAGAAAAAGTAGAAACAGCCTAGAGGTTCAGAAGTAAAGGAATCATTAGTTAAGTTGTAGAGTGTTAAATATAATGCATATACAGAAAATGAGGATTATAAATTGTATACAGCACATGGAAATGCTTACAGTATAATACAGGGAGAAAAGCAGAATACCAAATGGTATATTCCCTATGAGTGATATGTACATAAACATATATTCATAAAGAAAAGACTGGCGAGAGGCCGGGCGCGGTGGCTAAAGCCTGTAATCCCAGCACTTTGGGAGGCCCAGGCGGGTGGATCACAAGGTCAAGAGATCGAGACCATCCTGGTCAACAAGGTGAAACCCCGTCTCTACTAAAAATACAAAAATTAGCTGGGCATGGTGGTGCGCGCCTGTAGTCCCAGCTACTCGGGAGGCTGAGGCAGGAGAATTGCTTGAACCCAGAAGGCGGAGGTTGCGGTGAGCCGAGATTGTGCCATTGCACTCCAGTCTGGGTAACAACAGCGAAACTCCATCTCAAAAAAAAAAGAAAAGACTGGCGAGAAAACACGGAAATGATAGTAGTTGTGTTGATATCGTAGAATTATGTGTAACTTTTTTCACATTTTCTTGGTCCTGTAGTCACGTTGCTTTGGCAAAAAAGTGATAGAATATCTAGAAAAAGAAAGATACAAATTCAGAGGTGCCATATACTATAAGGGAACAGATGAGTTCAAGTAAGTAGTTTGTCTTTGAACATAGAACCACTACTGCAGGATTGCTCTCCAACTATTAAATTGCGCTGATTTTATAACCTCTCTAAAAACATCCTACCCACAAAGTCTCACTGACTCACAATAGTCAGTATGCCTTATATTTCACATGTCTCCTGACTCAGCATCAGGAAGATGCACACTTTCTTGAGTGCTTTATTGCATAATGGGGTTGATAGTTCCATTTCGAAGAAGTAATGACTTTTTGTTCCTTATGAATAAATTAAGATATGGGGCCATTTTTAAAATAATAATGTATCTCTATTTCTATATTAAGATACCTTAGGTAGCTCTACTTATTTCAAAATAAAATTAATGGCCAGGCATCATGGTTCACGCCTGTAATCCTAACACTTTGGGAGGCCGAGATGGGAGGATTGCTTAAGCTCAGGAGTTCGAGACCAGCCTGGGCAACATGGTGAGACTTCATCTCTTTAAAAAAAAAAAAACAACAACAACAAAATAGAAATAAACAAAATAAAATTCATGCACTTCAGGTAAAAATGCTTATCTTCTAGCTATACTGAATTGTTAAGTATGATAAAATTAGCTGCATTGCCAGACAGTCACAATTCTACAAATGTGGAATCATAGCAGGGCAGCACTTCTTTAATTTATGTGGGGATTTATACTAATAGATACTCATTTAGTTAGGTAGTCAAACCATGTGTACTGAGCACCTGCTACATGCCAGGCACTGCCGTGAGCACTGCAGACCCAATAATGAGTAAGATCCCTCTCACGGAAGCTAGATTCTAGATGGTGCAGACAGTCAACAATTGCACGAACAAGACTTTAGATAGCAATAAGTGCTTTGAAGACAATGAAATGAAATTATATAATATGTGTTGTGGATGCTGGTTGTTAGATGATGTCATCAAGGAAGGACTCTGTGGTAGTGATGGTTGAGCTGCAACCTGAATGCTACAAAGGAATTGGCCATGCAAAGAGAGGATCAGGGTGTTATATGCAAAGGAAACAACAAATCACAAAGGTCCTAACGTAGGAATAAGCTCAGTGTAGTCAAGAAACAGAAAGAGGGCTGATATGGCTAGAGGAAGAGAGGAATGATAGTGATGGGGTAAGAGGGATGTGCAGAGATTTCATATAGGACCTTGTTGGATTTTAGTTCACATGCAATGGAGGGTTTAATGTGAGGCATACCAAGATGTAATTTATGTTTTAAAAAGATCCCCTTGGCTCTGGCAGTAAAATGAGTTGGTGAAGAAAAAAAAAAATAAAAAGATCCCCTTGGCTGTGATATGAAGAGTGAGTTTTAAAGACGGCAAAAAATGAAAAGGGGAGAAAGTTAGAAGCCTATGAATGATGGTGGATTGGATCAGGGTACTAGCATTGGAGGTAGAGAACTGGTTGGATTTGGCATATATTTGCCATTAATATAGAATTGAGTAGACTGCTTAACCTACCAAAGTAATTAATATGCCAACAATATGATAGGTACTTCTTTTTTTTTTTTTTTTCCCTGAGATAGAGTCTTGCTCTGTTACCCAGGCTGGAGTGTGGTGGTGCCATCTTGGCTCACTGCAGCCTCTGCTCCCTGGTTCAAGTGATTCTCGTGCCTCAGCCTTCCAAGTAGCTGGGATTACAGGCATGCACCACTAAACCTGGCTAATGTTTTTGTATTTTTAGTAGAGACGGGTTTTTGCCATGTTGGCCAAGCTGATCTTGAACTCCTGCCTCAAGTGATCCACCTGCCTTGGCCTCCCAAAGTGCTGGGATTACAGGTGTGAGTCACCATGCCTGGCCGATAGGTAATTCTTGATTATCAAAGCAGATAGAACCCATCAAATATTGTGATAATCCTCTGGAATAGATTAGAGATGAGCAGAGTTGGCCCTTTCTTATTCCAATTGCACTTGTAGTCCATACTGCAGTTTAGTTTTCTCCTACTGATTAGATTATAAGCCCCTTTAAAACTGGAAATATGCCTCATTGCAGCTTTACAACCTTCCAAAATACGTAGTACAAAGCTAGATAGGTACAAAGTATTCATCAAATTAACTTGTTTTGTAAGATGAATTGCCTAGCATCACATATGTCTTCTAACATATTCCTGAATTCATTAATTCATTCAATAAATATTATTACCAGGCACAGTTAGGCACTGGGGATAAATCACAATGAATTGCTGTGGCTCACAATTCCCTGGCGGCATTCTGCTGCTGGTGCATGCAGGGTATTTGCTTTCCAGTCAGCTACTGTGTCTGCTTGTCCCACTTCACTAATTTCTATTAAACACCTGACCCCTGTTCTAAAGATTCTGAAGACTAAACATTTTCTATAATTAAAAAGATTGATTTTAATTATTTAATATCATTATGAATACATCTCTTCCCCTCCCTTGATCCCTTTTGTCCTCCTTCCTTCTTTCATTCGTTCCCTTTTTTGTCCCCCCTTTTTTTCCTCTTTCAGCAGCATGGTGGAAACAGCATGCATGAGCCTTGAAGTCAGAGAGACCTGGTCTACTGACTTCTGTGATCTGTGGCACATTACTTAACTTCACCAAGTCTGAATTTCCTCATTTGTAAATGATGAAAATTATATAGTATTTTGCCCAGTCATAAAGGATAGGGGTATAGAATCTTCTTTTTACAAAAACCGTAGTAGGGCAGGATGCCATGGCTGACTCCTGTAATCCCAATACTTTGGGAGGCTGAGATGGGAAGGTTGCTTGAGCCCAGGAGTTGGAGAGCAGCCTCGGAAACATAGCGAGACCCCATCTCTACACAAAGGTTAAAAATATCAGCCAGGCATGGGGACATGTACCTATAGTCCCAGCTACTTGGGAGGCTGAGGTAGGAGAATCACTTGAGCCCAGGAGTTCAAGCCTGCAGTGAGCTATGATTGCACCATTGCACACTCCAGCCTGGGTGATAAACTGAGACCCTATCTTTAAAAAAAAAAAAACAAAAACAAGAAAAGTATTGTAGAACCATTAGCTGTTAAGGAACTTGAGACCTTATGAAGGGAGTGGGGATGGAATTGAAGTCAGAAATAGACCTATAAATATCCTTCTAAATATGCTGACATCTACTAAAATAAAATGACAGAGACCACACACACAAATGCATTTGTACATATTAAATAAGTAATGTGAATTATATTCTACTATTAATTTCTATTTATCACTCTTGACTTGATAAAAGCTTCCAGGTCTATTTTATTAGGAGTTTGAATAGTCTTACTGTAAATCTGTTTTGTTTTTTCATAGATAATACATATTCCAAGAGGCATGGTTTTTTCTACATCTGATCTTCCTCTAAATGCGTAATTTCTGTGACTCAGGCTTTCTAAGTGTCAGACATTTCCTGAGTGACTTCTTCTTCTCCAGTCCCTCTGAGATCTCAGAGACATAGAGTAGTTTGCATGTGTAATAGGAAAAGGCTTTGCCTGGAACTGTTTAACCTACTCATCTTGTGGTCAGATAGCTTCTATGACATCTAGGGTCATATACCCATCACATCTCATGACAATGTTAATTCTTCTTCAGGTCTACTAGACCATATTTCAAGGCCTTAACTTACTCTCCTTTATCTTTGTTCTCTCTCTCTCATAGTTGTAAAATCCACTCCTGTTCCTCTGTCATCTGCTTTACCTTTCTTTTCTTTCTTTTTTTTGAGACGGCATTTCGCTCTTGTTACCCAGGCTGGAGTGTAATGGCGCAATCTTGGCTCACTGCAACCTCCGCCTCCTGGGTTCAGGCAATTCTCCTGCCTCAGCCTCCTGAGTAGCTGGGATTACAGGCACATGCCACCATGCCCAGCTAATTTTTTCTATTTTTAGTAGAGGCAGGGTTTCACCATGTTGACCGGGATGGTCTTGATCTCTTGACCTCGTGATCCACCCGCCTCGGCCTCCCAAAGTTCTGGGATTACACGCTTGAGCCACCGCACCTGGCCCCTTTCTTTTCTTAATTCTCTCTTGTTCTTATTATCCTCAGGAGAAATACTTTGCAATTTACATATCCTGAAACTAAAATCTGCAATGTAGTCTAAAAGGTATCTAGAATCAATTTGCCATATATTTCTTTTCCCTGCCTAAGAAAGGAACGGTCACAGGGCAAATTCTTCTGAGTGGAAAAGGTAATATCATTGAAACTAATGATACACAGCTACTTCAGTAGTTAACAAGCATGTATGAGATATTCATTGTTTATATTGCTGAACCTTTAGGACAAGTAATCAAAGCAGAACTATAAAGACAAATGAAATCAGTGCAAACAGTGCAAAGGAAGTATGGGGTTATTATTATAAACTCACCAAGCAGACGAATTCTAACAGGAGAACACAACAATGCAATAGCAAAATTCACATGTAAAGATGACTACCTGGTGCTTTGCCTCTCTTTTTTTTAGTGATTTCAGAATGTCCAAATGCCTCCTAAATGTCAGGAAATACCTCCTAAACAGGAGGCAATGTTCGAGTGGCGCCCTTCATAAAAAGTCATATTCTTGTAACCTGAATGGGTATGGGATATGTTTCTACTCAAATTTCAGGTAGAGGTACTCACCATTATAGAAGGATTACTATTGCTAGCTTTTTGACTACCTAAATGAATTAAATGTACGTAAAACATCAGGATAACGTAGCAGCTAGCACATAATTGGAGCTTGTGAAATAGCAGTTCCTATCTTTCATTTTAACAGTTTTACTTTTTTTCTCCCAGGATTTGGATGTAGCTTTGCCCATTATCGAGAATTATAAGGATCGATTGTTGGCAATTGGAGAGGTAAACACTCACTAGGTTGATCAAATGACTTCTAATTGAAACTTCTATATATGAAAATAATCCTTAGTTCAGTATTGGTGATTGTAACTGACTTAAATAATTATGTTCACCTCATTTAGCCAATAAATTATTAAATTTGTTGATACTTCTTTAATAAGTAAGAAAGCTTGGGAATGGAACAATTGAAAGCCTTACCATAGGCCTACCTTAATTGGAGAAAAATCATAGCATTTCTGAATTTGCTTTCTCTTTTCTTGTGCTTAAATATGGGTCCTTGCTCTGGTGAGTTAATACAGTATCTATAATTCTTCATAAGTAATTTAGAAACACACTTTAAACAGGCTAGAGTTTGTGATTAAATAACTTTTTTATTTAAATAATTTATAATTGTGATTTTTTTCTTTTTTTTTTTTTTTGAGACGGAATCTTGCTCTGTCATCCAGGCTGGAGTGCACTGGCACAATCCCAGCTGGAGTGCAGTGGTGCAATCCCGGCTCACTGCAACCTCCACCTCCCAGGTTCAAACAATTCTCCTGCCTCAACCTCCTGAGTAGCTGGGATTACAGGCATGCACCACCGCACCCAGCTAATTTTTTGTATTTTTAGTAGAGACAGGGTTTCACCATGTTGGACAGGCTAGTCTTGGACACTTGGCCTCAAGCAATCCACCCACATTGGCCTCCCAAAGTACTGAGATTATAGGCCTGAGCCACCATGCTTGGCCAATTGTGAAATATTTTTATTACTTGATAACAAATTCCATTTTTAATTAAAGACAAAAGAATAACACTTAAATTCGGAATAGATTATAGAATGCATGCCAAAATAGTCCCAGGAGAAGGAGTCATCTATAATCTGTGTCATCCAATGGAGTGGCCACTTATGGCTCCTGAGCATTTGAAATGTGACTGTTCTGAACTGAGATGTGCTGTAAGTGTAAAATACACTGTGGATTTCAAAATTTTAATACCAAAAAGAAAAAACACAAAGGCCAGGCACGGTGGTTCACACTTGTAATCCCACCACTTTGGGAGGCTGAGGAGGTAGATCACTTGAGGTTAGGAGTTCAAGACCAGCCTGACCAACATAGTGAAACCTTGTCTCTACTAAAAATACAAAAATTAGCTGGGCATGGTGGCACATGCCTGTAATCCCAGCTACTTGGGAGGCTGAGGCAAGAGAATCGCTTGAACCCGGGAGGCAGAGGTTGCAGTGAGCCAAGATCGTGCCACTGCACTTCAGCCTAGGTGACAGACCCAGACTCTGTCTCAAACAAACAAAAAGGAATGTAAAATAACTAAATATTTTATATTGGCTACGTGTTAAAATAATAATATATGGAATATATTGCATTAAAGTATATTAAGATTAATTTCATCTGTTTTTGTTAATATTTTTAATGTGGCTGCTAGAATTAATATTTTTATGTAGCTTGCTTTTGCGCCTGGCATTATATTCTATTGGATAGCATCAATCCAAAATATCTCTTTTCAGGTTCCTTAAACCTAAATATGTAACATCTTTTATTTTTTTTGTTGTAGGTTGGACTAGATTTCTCCCCCAGATTTGCTGGCACTGATGAACAGAAGGAAGAGCAAAGACAAGTCCTAATCAGACAGATCCAATTAGCCAAAAGACTAAATTTACCTTTGTAGGTTAATTATTTTTCTATGTTAATAGCTATAAAGCAAATTAAATAATGATCAGAGTTCTCCTGAAATGGAGCTCTACATTTTTTTTTCTCTGAACTACTTTAATAGATCAAAAACAATACTTTCACAGTGGTACTTAAAAGAAATTTTATTGTTAAACAGAAATGTGCACTCACGCTCTGCTGGAAGACCTACCATCAACCTTTTACAAGAGCAAGGTATTTAGTTTCCTGAGAAAAATGGGCCTAATGTTCAAATTTGACAATTCCAGTTTACAGTCTTATAAAGCAAGCCATGATTTACTGAAGGGCAGGGGGCAAGGAGAGAGGTGGAAATCATCTAAGATGATTTTGCAAGTCAGGCTTTTGTTTACAAGGTTTTCAGTGTAATTGTGATATTTCTAAGGCCCAGATAGAGTAAATGAAAAGTTGAATCAAATAATTTATGTTCCTTAATTTAAAAATTAGTAACTTTATAAAAATTTTAAAAAAAATTAGCAGCTCCAGTTTCTTTTTATTTTGTTTATTTATTTATTTATTTTTGAGATGGAGTCTCGCTCTGTCACCCAGGTTGGAATGCAGTGGCAGGATCTCAGCTCACTGCAACCTCCACCTCCTGGGTTCAAGTGATTCTCCTACCTTAGCTTCTCATGTGGCTGAGATTACAGGTACCTGCCATCATGCCTGGCTAATTTTTGTATTTTTAGTAGGAGGCAGTTTTTCACCCTGTTGGCCAGGCTGGTCTCAAACTCCTGACCTCAAATGGTCTGCCCGTCTCAGTCTCCCAAAGTGCTAGGATTATAGGCATGAGCCACAATGCCTGGCCTATTTTATTTTTTGAGACAGCGTCTCACTCTTGCCTAGGCTTGAGTGCAGTGGTGCAATCTTGGCTCACTGAAACCTCCATCTCCTGGATTCGAGCTATTCTCCTGCCTCAGCCTCCAAGTAGCTAGCATCACAGGTTCGTGCCACCACACCTAGCTAATTTTTGTATTTTTAGTAGAGATGGGGTTTCACTATGTTGGTCAGGCTGGTCTCGAACTCCTGACTTCAGGTGATCCACTTGCCTCAGCCTTCCAAAGTGCTGGGATTACAGGTGTGAGCCACTGTGCCCGGCCAGCAGCGGCAGTTTCTTAATCAGCTCAGTCAGCTGATTAATGAGGAAAAGGAAAAAAGACAAAGAAGGGAAATCACACAGCAATCACGTTGGGTCACTGTTTTATATATTTTCTGGCTGCTGCTGCAAAATGCAGAATTTACAGAAATGCAGAAATACAGATTTCGGCCATCATACATAAACACACTCTTCTTCATCAGTTGTTTCTAAAGTAAAACTACATCTTACAGCATTATTTTTCAAGCTTTTAAAGGTGCCATCCACAGTAAGAAATATAATTTATTTTGAGACTCATATTCACATAAAGAAAGCTAACAAAAGTTTAACAAGCAATCCTTATATATGTATGTGTGTATCGGTATGTATAAATGTGTGTGCTACACACACACACACACACAGATATACACATTCATATAAGCACACTTTGATTGGTTGTGATGTGACCTACTAAGCCGGTTTCATAACTCACTTATGGTTGTAACCCACTAATGGTCATATCATTTGAAAAAACACTGTCAAATAATAAAGTAAATGTAATTGCCTGCAACTAGAAAACATTGTATTTCTCAGTGATTAATACTTCTAGAGTCACTGAAAGCATGATTTTTATGCAGGCTGAGCAGCTACCCTTTAAGAACTGGGGGTAACTTTGTGAAGCTGACTCTGACTGTTGAATTTGTGTCACTTAGTTTCCTATTTCTTTTTTTTTTTTTTTTTTGAGATGGAGTCTCACTGGGTCACCCTGGCTGGAGTGCAGTGGTACAATCTTGGCTCACTGCAACCTCCACCTCCCAGGTTCAAGTGATTCTCTTGCCCCAGCCTCCCAAGCAGCTAAGACTACAGGTGCACACCACCACACCTGGCTAACTTTTGTATTTTTAGTAGAGTTGGGTTTCACCATATTGACCAGTATGGTCTCAATCTCTTGACCTCATGATCCACCCTCCTCAACCTCCCAAAGTGCTAGGATTACAGGCATGAGCCACCGCGCCTGGCCCCCATTTCTTCTTCCACTAGCATTTTTGTTAAGAGAATCCACTTGACTGCCTAAAAAACCTCCTGTTAGAAACAATTTGACAGTGCACAGACTTCTAGAAAAGGTCTGATGGTGCAGGAAATTTAAATAATTATCTTTTAAATTGAATATTCCTTTTTTTTTTTTTGAGACGGAGTCTCACTCTGTTGCCCAGGCTGGATTGTAGTGGGGTGATCACTGCTTGTGCAACCTCCGCCTCCCAGGCTCAAGTGATCCTCCCACCTCAGTTCCATAAGTAGCTGGGACTACAGGCACACCACTACCACACCCTGCTAATTTTGTGTATGTGTATTTTTAGTAGAAACTGGGTTTTACCATGTTGCCCAGGCTGGTCTCTGCCTGCCTTCACCTCCCAAAGTTCTGGGATTACAATTGTGAGCCATTGTGCCTGGCCTAAAATTTACTATATTTTTATTCTACTCTTTGAACACCGTACATTTATCCACACTATAGAACCTCTTCTTTATATCCTAGTGACCAACATTTACTTAAAATTTCGGACTTCTGTTATTTAACTTGATTGATGGAAAATAAAATGGAATTCTGCTTTATCTTTCATTTTTGAAAGGTGCTGACAAGGTACTGCTGCATGCATTTGATGGTCGGCCATCTGTAGCCATGCAAGGAGTAAGAGCTGGGTACTTCTTCTCAATTCCCCCTTCTATCGTAAGAAGTGGACAGGTAAATTTTTTCATTGAAACTCATCTAACACTTTATGAGATGAAAGTTAAAGTATGAGCTTTTCTTACATACGTGTGATACTATTCTAGTTACCTTACAACAATTAATCTTAGGTCTCTACCACACATATATACATTTTATATATATATATGTGTGTGTGTATATACACACACACACACACACACACACACACACATATATATATATATGAACTCAGAAATTGACTTAACTGTAAAATTAAAATAAGGCCAAGTGTGACGGCTCACACTTGTAATCCCAGCATTCTGGGAGGCCAAGGCGGGTGGATCACCTGAGGTCAGCAGTTCAAGACCAGTCTGACCAACATGGTGAAATCCCGTCTCTACTAAAAATACAAAAATTAGTCAAGTGTGGTGGCATGCACCTGCAGTCCTAGCTACTCGGAGACTGAGACAGGAGAATCACTTTGAACCCAGGAGGCGGAGGTTGCAGTGAGCTGACATCGCGCCGTCGCACTCCAGCTTGGACAACAAGAGCAAAACTCTGTCTAAACAAAAAAGGAAAGAGAAAGCAAAATTAAGGTATAGTCAAGGTTTATAAAAATATCTCTATCAGCAATCATTTATCTTTGTGTACGCTTTAGCTGCATTTTACAAATTTTAATATGCTCTGTTTTCACTTTTTTTAGTTCAAAACATACTCTAACTTATCTTGGGACATCCTTGATCATAAGGTTATTCAAAAAGTATATTGTTTAATTCCAAAAATTAAGAATTTTCCTGATATCTTTCTTTTCTTTTTTTTTTATCTGAGATGGAGTCTCGCTCTGTTGTCCAGGCTGGAGTGCGCAATCTCGACTCACTGCAACCTCCACCTCCCAGGTTCAAGCAATTCGCCTGCCTCAGCCTCCTGAGTAGCTGGGATTACAGGCGTGTGCCACCATGCCCAGCTAATTTTTTTTATTTTTTAGTGAGAGACAGGGTTTTACCATATTGGCCAGGCTGGTCTTGAACTTCTGACCTCAAGAGATCCTCCAGCCTCAGCCTCCCCAAAGTACTGGAATTACAAGCATGAACCACAGCGCCCACCCTTTCCTGATATCTTTCTGTTACTGATTTCTACTTTAATTCCACTGTGTTCAGAGAACATACATTATATGATTTTAACAAGTTTTTAAAATTAATTGAGGTTTCCTTAGTGGCCTGAATATGGTCTATTTTGGTGAATGGAACATACACACTTGAAAAGAATGTATATTCTGCTTTGCATGGAGTGTTCTATAAATGTAAATCAGGTTTGGTTAACTGATAGTCCAGTATTTATTTTTATTTTTGCTACTTTTATTATTTGTGGAGAAATTTCTTAGTATAATCTTTAGCTGAGACTGTTTCTCCTCCAAAACTGAAATGCAAATGCTGTTTTTTATTACTTTAAAGAAAATTAAAACAACTTCATAAAAGAAAGAACAAATTTCAAGTCAACCCAAATCCCACCACTCAGAGAGTACTATTGTTAACATTGATTTGGATAAAATAAAAGGATATGCTACTATTTTTTCTTTTGACCCAGCTTCATAGATATGTATTTATGTCTATAAATATAGACCTACATCATCTTTTATACTGACCAAGTAGTATTTCACATTGTGGATATACCATAATTTATTTAAGCATTACCCTAGATAAAGGTTAGGCTGTTTCCAGTTTTTCACTGCTTTTTTCTTTTTTTTTTTTATGAGACAGTTTTGCTTTTGTTGCCCAGGCTGGAGTGCAATGGCATGATCTCAGCCCACCACAGCCTCCGCCTCCTGGTTTCAAGTGATTCTCCTGCCTCAGCTTCCCAAGTAGCTGGGGTTACAGGCATGCGCCACCACACTGGCTAATTTTGAATTTTAGTAGAGACAGAGTTTCTCCACATTGGTCAGGCTGATCTCAAACTCCTGACCTCAGGCCTCGCAAAGTGCTGGGATTACAGGCATGAGCCACCATGCCTAGCCTTTTCACTCTTGTAAACAGTGTTTTCATGAATGTCTTTGTACATCCACAAACACATATGCATACACTTGTCCACTTGTCTCCTATAAATGGAATCACTAAGTAAAAGTTTATACATTTTTTAAAATTTTGGCATAAATTGTCACATTTCCTTCAAGGACATTTATACCAGTTTAATCGTTATCTACCAACAGTGCATAAGAATACTCATTTGTGTGCTTTTAAATTTTTAATCATAAACAGCTTAACAATGTTCCACTTTGCATCATTTGCCCCCTTCCCATTTTTTTTTTTTTTTTTTAATTTTAAGTGCAGTGGCAGCAAGAGAATTGTGTTCCTGGCATAAAACATATTGAGTTAATTGCAATTCTTACAATCTACACACAGAAAATTATAAATAAGAAAATAAAACAGCCAGGCATGGTGGCTCATACCTGTAATCCCAGCACTCTGGGAGGCCAAGGTAGGAGGATCCCGTGAGCCCTGAGTTCGAGACCAGGCTGAGTGACATAGTGAGACCCCCTCTCTACAAAAATTACTAAAATTAGCTGGGTGTGGTGATATGTGGCTGTGGTCCCAGATACTGAGGAGGCTGAGGTGAGAGGATCACTGGAGCCCTGGAAGGAGAGGTTGCAGTGAGCCAAGATCACACCATTGCACTCCAGCCTGAAGACAAAGAAAAGAAAACCATCCACAACCCAATCTAAAATTTAAATTGGGCCAGGCACTGTGGCTCACTGTAATCCCAGCATTTTTGGAGGCTGAAGTGGGCAGATCATCTGAGGTTAGGAGTTCAAGACCAGCCTGGCCAACATGGTGAGACCCCCGTCTCTACTAAAAATACAAAAATTAGCTGGCTTTGGTGGCACACACCTGTAATCCCAGCCACTTGAGAGGCTGAGGCAGGAGAAGCACTTTAATCCAGGAGGCAGATATTGCAGTGAACTGAGATTGCACCACTTTACTCCACCCTGGGCAACAGAGCCTCCATATAAATAAATAAATAAATAAGATAAAATAAAATTTAAATGGCATAAGAACCTTAGATTTGGGCCAGGCACAGTGGCTCATGCCTGTAACTTCAGCACTTTGGGAGGCCAAGGCCTGCGGATCACTTGAGCTCAAGAATTCAAGAACAGCCCAGGCAACATAGTGAAATGCTATCTCTATAGTCCCAAATACTTGGGAGGCTGAGGTGGGAGGATGGCTTGAGTCCCAGAGGTGGAGGTCCCAGTGAGCCAAGAAGGTGCCACTCCACTCCAACATGAATGACAGAGCCATACTTTGTCTCAAAAACAAACAAACAGAACCCTTAGATTTATCAACATAAAGCTGAGTGCCTTAAAGTGGATGTTAGAAAGAAACAGAGTGTGATGATGATGGAGAAACAACAGAAATCACTTCCTTGTTTCTATTGGCACGTGGTATCAGATGTTTAGATTTCTGCCTGCTGGATATACCTCATTTTTGCTATGTTTACTATTCTTTGGTTTTCCTAGAAGATAATTTGGATAATTTTAGGAATTCGTGTTTATACTTTAACATAATATTTAGTAGTGGAATTAGGAGAACATAATAGGCATCCAGTTAGCATTTATCAATTGAATTGTTTTTTTGAAGCAGAGTCTCACTCTGTCGCCCAGGCTGGGGTGCAGTGATGTGATCTTGGCTCACTGCAACATCTGCCTCCCAGGTCCAAGCAATTCTCCTGCCTCAGCCTTCGAAGTAGCTGGGATTATAGGTGTGCACCACAACGCCTGGCTAATTATTATTATTATTATTTTCACTCTGTGGCCAGGCTGGAGTGCAGTGGCATGATCTCGGCTCACTACAAACTCTGTCTCCCAGGTTCAAGTGATTCTCATGCCTCAGCCTCCTGAGTAGCTCAGACTACAGGTATGCACCACCATGCCCAGCTATTTTTTGTATTTTTAGTAGAGACAGGGTTTCACCATGTTGGCCAGGCTGGTCTTGAACTCCCAACCTCAGGTGATCTGCCTGCCTCAGCCTCCCAAAGTGCTAGGATTACAGGTATGAGCCACCATACCTGGGTTAATTTTTGTGTTCTCAATAGAGATGGGTTTTATCATGTTGGTCAGGCTGATCTCAAACTCCTGGCCTCAAGTGATCTGCCCACTTCAGCCTCCCAAAGTACTGGGATTACAGGTGTAAGCTACCACACCCGGCATAGCAATCACTTCTTTTTTTTTTTTTAGATAGATCCTCACTTTGTTGCCCAGGCTGGAGTGTAGTAGCCCAATCTCAGCTCACTGCAACCTCTGCCTCCCTGGTTCAAGCAATTCTTCTGCCTCAGCCTCCTGAGTAGCTGGGATTACGGGCGCACACTACCACACCTGGCTGATATTTGTATTTTTAGTAGAGACGGGGTTTCACCATGTTGGTCAAGCTGGTCTCGAACTCCTGACCTTGTGATCTGCCTGCCTCAGCCTCCCAAAGTGCTGGGATTACAGGTGTGAGCCACCTCGCCCAGATTAAAGCATAAATTTTAAGTTCTTGCAGAATCAGATGTATTATTAGCATGTCAATTTAATACTCCTTATTTCTCATGTTTTAAACTTACCTGCTTTCTCTTTTGTCTAAGAAGCAGAAACTTGTGAAACAGTTGCCTTTAACTTCTATATGCTTAGAAACAGATTCACCTGCACTAGGACCAGAAAAACAGGTAAATTGTTTTCTAATGTCTATATTATTTAGATTGTATCTTTCATTTGAGCTCTTTTCTTATTTAGCTGTGTTTCTCAATCTAGCACTATATGAGGATTCCACCGTATTTGCACATTTCTAGTATAAATACGGTGAAATCCTCATATAGTGCTAGATTGAGGGGTTGTATTAACTTCATTTCAGGTCTTTCTAAATATAGCTGTCATGCACCAGAGAATATTATTTGATAATGGAGCATGTCCTAATGTATGTAATAATAACAGTCAGACCAGTGTAGTAAAAAGCACAGTGTCTGCAGTCAGATTCTAATCCTGTTGTCTACCTAGTAGCTGACTTTGGGTAAACTGCTTAATCTCTCTGAAACTGCTTTTTCATTTATAAAATATGGGTAAAATAATAAATAATTTAAAAGATTATGGTGAGTATTATGTGAAGGAATGTATGTGAAAGTACCTAGCAATGTCTGGTATACAGTAGACGCTCAATGAATGTTCATTTTCTTCTTTTAATTAGCATGTTATAATGAAGATCTGTTTCTTTCAATACAAGTATTAATATAGTCATGGGTTTACTTATATGATCTTTGCTGTAGTCTCTTTTTGTTATTGTAAGCCACAAGGAATCATATTTTAAATTTCACTTTTTCATATTGCTACTATTTTAATTTATAATTTTCTGAAAGTAAGCCACAGTCTGTGCTTTATTTGCTTTAGACATTACCTGTTACAATGACCTCCCAATGTGCAATTAATAAGTGCCTCTGCCCCACCAGATCTGTGTGTCTGTGCCTGCCAAATTCAGAGAATTAGCACTCAAAATTTAGAGGTTTGGGAACAGTAGCAATTACTATGTGTTTATTCAGAAACTATGATTATATATGATTGCAATGTGAATTTTACCAATTAAAGTTCAATTAATTTTATTTATTTATTTATTTATTTTGAGACAGGGTCTTACTATCACCCAGGTGGTAATGCAGTGGGATGATTACAGAAACCTCAACTTCCTGGGTTCAGATGATTCTCCTTCATGCATGTGCTAGTGTGTGTGACCATGCCTGGCTAGTTGGCTTTTTTTTTTTTTTTTTTTTGAGACATAGTCTCACTCTGTCGCCCAGTCTGGAGTGCAGTGGCATGCTCTCGGCTCACTGCAACCTCTGCCTCCCAGGTTCAAGCAATTCTCCTGCCTCAGCTTCCCAAGTAACTGGGATTACAGGCTTGTGCCACCACTTCTGGCTAATTTTTGTATTATTAGTGCAGACAGGGTTTCACCATGTTGGCCACGCTGGTCTCAAACTCGTGACCTCAAGTGATCTGCCCACCTTGGACTCCCAAAGTGCTGGGATGACAGGCGTGAGCCACTGCACCTGGCCATTTTTATATTTTTTGTAGATATGTGGTATTACCATGTTCCTCAGGCTGGTCTTGAAACTCCTGGCCTCAAAGAATCCTAGCTTCCTGTCTTGGCCTCCCAAAGTGCTAGGATTACAGGCATGAGCCACTGTGCCGGCTTTTATTTTTATTTTCTTTTTAACAGGATCTCGCTCTATGGCCTAGGTTGGAGTACAGTGGCACAGTCATAGCTCACTGCAGCCCCCACCTCATGGGCTCAAGTGATCCTCCCACCTCAGCCCCCACCTCCAGTAGCTGTCCAGGCTGGTTAATTGCATATTTTTATGAACCAGCTATTATAAGAATGTAATATAGAGGAATGGGAAAGTAGAGGATCACACAACTAGTTTTTTCTCTTTTGGTGTAGGACAGAATGGTACAAAATTGCTGTTTTGATTAGTGTAAAATGGAAGGAAAGACCTAGCATTATTCTCCCTAAACAGGAATGAATTTTGATGCCTGTTGGAAGTCACTTTTATATTTACATTTAGTTGATTTGACAAAAATTGTGAGTTTCTGGCATAGTGCCTTGTTCAAAGTAGGCACCAGTTGAGAGCATCCCTAATCTGAAAATCCTAAATCTAAAGCTCCAAAATCTAAAACTTTTTGATCATGGATGTGACACTACAAAAGGAAAATTCCATAAATGAGTACTTAACAAAAACTTTATTTCTTGCACAAAATAATTTAAAATATTGCATAAAGTTACTTTCAAGCTATGTGTATAAAGTGTATATGAAACATAAATGGGGCTGGGCACAGTGACTCACACCTGTAATCCTGGCACTTCGGGAGGCCGAGGCTGACAGATCCCTTGAGGTCAGTAGTTTGAGACCATCCTGGACAACACAGTGAAACCCTGTTTCTACCAAAAATACAAAAATTAGCCGGGAGTGGTGATACATACCTGTAGTCTCAGCTACTCAGGAGGCTGAGGCAGGAGAATCACTTGAACCCAGGAGGCAGAGTTGCAGTGAGCTGAGATTATGCCACAGCACTACAGCCTGGGCAACAGAGAAAAAAAAAATGTAGGGTTCAGCCCTACAGGGTCCTATGAGCCCCTCTCCACTGGTGCAGAGACGAGAAATTGTAGAAAAAAAGACAAGACACAGAGATCAAGAGAAAAAGTTTGGGCCCAAGGGTCCACTGCTCACCAAAGCGTGGAGTCCAGCAGTGGCCCTGAGTGTCTGGTCACTCTGGCTTTTATTGCATACAAAGCAGGGGGCAGGGTAGACTGGGCAGGTCATTTTTGGTCGGTGATAGGGTCAGGTAAATCACGTGTCTTGGAGACAGGGTCCCATGACTTTCAGGTAACCCAGGCGAGGGAAGGAGCATACTGCATCAGCACTTTTTTCATACTTGTCAAAAAGAGAGAAGATCTTGAGATTTATGTTACTGTTACTGATATCCTCTAAGAAAAAGAGGAACCAGGTGCAGAAGCAAAAGATGCTTCTGACCTCTGAAGCATAGCCCCCATAGAGACACTTAAGCCCCTGGATGTCTGTGGGCTTCCCTGACAGCCATCAGGCCTACCACAAGAGCTTGGGGGAGCGGAGTTTTCTCCTAACTCCTCTGGGGAAGGAGACATCTTGGATGTCTCCTTCCACAGCTGGCTAAACAGTGGGCACTTTCCCAGCCCTGGTACTTTCCCAGCGCTGGCACTGCTGCACAGCCAAGTCGCCCTCCAGTAGCCCTTATGCGGGAGTGACAGAGGGCTTAGAGCATCTTGCCTTAGGGTCACTTCTTTCACAGTGTCACGTTAGGTTCACACTTTGCAACCCGAGAAGTATTAGCAACATTAAAAGATTATGATGAGTATATGGATATTTAAGTATCTATATCTATGATTACTTATGTGATTATATTTCTAATTTCATCATTTATATGGGAACAGGCAGAGGCTTCAGACCCTTGCCTCGGCACTTGCGGGGTCTCCCACCCACAGAAAGAAAGAGAAAGAGAGAGAAAGAAATCAAGAAGGAAGCAACAAAGAAAGAATCTGTGTTTAGACTTGGTCCACATCCCCAAGATATCTTATTATGTATATATATATTTTTTTAAAATACAAAATTTGGAACATTTTTGGTTCCAAGCATTTTGGGCAAGAGATGCTCAACCTGTGCTCAACAAATATTTTTGGATAAATGAATTTTTTAACCGCATGTGATTTTTGTTAAGTAAAATGTATCTGTTCACCAGGCTCAGTGGCTCATGTTTGTAATTCCAGCACTTTGGGAGGCCAAGGCAGACAGATCATGAGGTCAGGAGTTCTAGGCCAGCCTGGCCAACATGGTGAAACCCTGTCTGTACTAAAAAAATACAAAAATTAGCCGGGCATGGTAGCACGTACCTGTAATCCCAGCTACTCAGGAGGTTGAGGTAGGAGAATCACTGGTACCCAGCAGGCAGAGGTTGCAGTGAGCTGAGATCATGCCATTGCACTCCAGCCTAGGCAACAAGAGCAAAACTACATATCAAAAAAATATATATGTCTGTTTTAGAAAGTTAGAAAACACAATCATGACCAAGAAAATAAATCATCTACCACACAAAGGTTACCACTATAATATAGTAGCTAAGTCCATAAACTCTGAAGTCAGATTGCTTGGGTTTAAAGCCCAGCCAGGCTACTTACTACTATTTGAGATTCCTTCTTATCTGTATAAATAGGGATATGGTCGGGTGCAGTGGTGCATGCCTATAGTTCCAGCTACTTGGGAGGCTCAAGTGGGAGGATTGCTTGAGCCCAGGAGTTCTGGGCTGTAGTGCGCCATGCCAATCAAGTGTCTGCACTAAGTTCGGCATCAATATGGTGACCTCCCAGGATGGGGATCACCAGGTTGCCTAAGGAGGGGTGAACTGGCCCAGGTCGGAAGCGGAGCTGATCAAAATTCCTGTGCTGATCAGTAGTGGGATCACACCTATGAATATTTACTGCACTCCAGCCTGGGCAACACAGTGAGACCCCATCTCTGAAAAAAAAAAGGGATACTACTAATAATAGTATACCTATCCCACAGAGTTATTTTGAGGATTAAATGAGAAATTTTATAAAAAGCTTAGAACAATGCCTCATCTATAGAACACACTAAAGTCTGTATGTTCTTTCAGACATTTTAATGTTCATTTATGTATGTACATATATTTTGTAAAAACAGAATTAACCTGGACATATTATTTTATAACTGACCTTTATGTGGTAAACTTCTGTATATATATTTTTTTTGTTAATTTTTTTTTTTATAGAGACAAGGTCTCACTATGTTTCCCAGGCTGAACTCAAGTGATCCTCTGCCTCTGCCTTCCTAAGTGCTAGGATTATAGATGTAAGCCACTGCACCTCTGTATATATTAATAAATACACTTTTCATCATGTTTAATAAATGCATAATATTCCAGTATGTGAGTTTACCATAATATATTTAACTTAACATTGGTCATCTAGATTGTATTACAAACAACATGATAAACATCTTGAACATAAATCTTTGTGCACATTTTTATTTTTTTAGGTGTTTTTTAAACTTTAACAATAATGTTATTCTGCTGAACATTATCATCCTGAGTAGATACTTATTGATAGTAACAATAATACTTTATTTCATCAAATATAAATGCTACTGATTGTAGAGGCACCATTGTTTACCATTGTTTTATAACCATTAAGAAAGAAAAAACACTGCCAGTTACACTATGATATACCACTGAATCTAAGTGAAATATACTGTATCAATTTCAGAGATGTTAACATAGGGGAGGAAATGCATCTTAGAATCAGTGAAATTCCAGTACATAATCTGTTCCGTCTTTCCAATACATGATGGCATTTCTTGAATCATACTGTCATGTAGCCTGTGAGGTAGGCAGCCAAGCAGCAGAGCAGTGACCTTTACAAGTGCTCACGTAAGCAACAAACCAAAGGACAGTTAATCCATTGGTCAGGCGGGTCACTAAGTGTTGACTCTTTGCAGACTGCTTCTTGTGCCAGGAGCTAGGGACTTCAATTAATACCCCAGGTTTCTTTTCAGGACCAGCATAAATTTCTAATCAATATTGCAGCCATGCCTCCCTCCCAGCCCTCATCCCCACCTAAAAAGAAAAAAGGAGCCCATCAGTTGCTTTTACCAACTCATTTTCTTCTGCTTTTCTTTTTTTTTTTTTTTTTGAGACGGAGTTTCGCTCTTGTTACCCAGGCTGGAGTGCAATGGTGTGATCTCGGCTCACCGCAACCTCTGCCTCCTGGGTTCAGGCAATTCTCCTGCCTCAGCCTCCTGAGTAGCTGGGATTACAGGCACGCGCCACCATGCCCAGCTAATTTTTTGTATTTTTAGTAAAGACAGGGTTTCACCATGTTGACCAGGATGGTCTCGATTTCTTGACCTCATGATCCACCTGCCTCGGCCTCCCAAAGTGCTGGAATTACAGGCATGAGCCACCGCGCCCGGCATCTTCTGTTTTATCTATAGTCTCCAAGGATCTGCTTCCCTTGACTGTCATGTTTGACATGGTGTCTGCTGTGTAATTTCAGGTACGGAATGAGCCCTGGAACATTTCTATTTCAGCAGAATATATTGCCCAGGTGAAAGGGATCTCAGTGGAAGAAGTTATAGAAGTGACGACACAGAATGCATTAAAACTGTTTCCTAAGCTCCGACACTTGCTCCAGAAATAGCTTCAAAACCATACATTGCAAAATGGAATCAACTACAGGGGGCAGCATTTGAAAAATAAAAATGTTCTGATGAAGAATTTGAACTCAAGAAGCTGTTTTATAGGGTTTTAGAAGATTTTAATTGTAGAGAAATATTTCTCTTAGAAAGAAAACTGGGCTTGGATCCTAAAACCCTGGGTTCTGATTCTAGCCTTGTGCTCCTTTTCAGTTAGCCGAGTTCTGGCGGGATATTGGGAAAATACTGTTACTTCTTACATTGCCCTATTACATAGAACCACCATCTGAACTGAAACCACTGCTTCTGGAAGGGGGGCTCCCACAGGAAGAGCATAAGCACTGCTGTGATGAGGATGGAGTTAGCTAAAGTGTGGTCTTACCACCTGTTTTTCTTCCCATAGGATTTAGCCAGTGAAGGGAGAGTGTCTGGTGTCCTATGCTATCAGAAATCTCTTTTCTAGGTTTGTAAAATTAAACTTTTAATACTTTGAGTTATTTCTCTTTAAGATAAAAATGTGTAAGGATTTTACACTGATCTTAGATTTTTGACTTATGAGGCCAGTGGTTTGAATGAACAATCATTATTAAATGCAAAGCTCAAAAGTTTAGTTAACATACCAATTTTAAGTTCTAGTATGAATTTTGTCAACATATTTAGAATGTAAATGGCATTGTTAAAAATGTATCTGATTTCCTTGTGAACAGTAATATTTTGTATTTTTAAGTTTAAAATGTTAGTATAAGCCAAGCACAGTGGTATGCACCTGTAGTGCCAGTTACTCAGGAGGCTGAGATGGGAGGACCCCTTAAGCCCAAGTTTTAGTCCGGCCTGGGCAACCTAGTGAGATGTGAGAACCTGTCTCTAAAAAGGTAAATAAATAAAAATCTCAGGTGTATAAACAGTTCTGTAGATAGATGGTAGTGATGGTAGCACATCAATGTGAAGGTGTTTAATGCCACTGAACTGTATACTCATAAAGAATGAAGATAATACATTTTATGTTATGTGTATTTTACTATAATTTTTTTTTAATCTTATATGTAGTTTAACAGGTGTGGTCCATGGCAAAACTTAGGTATTTAATCTTGTTATATAAGCAGCAAATGCTGGAAAAAGTACCTGTCATAGGTAAAATAAACTTCCCAAAGCCAAGTGATTTTATGTAATCACTTCGAAATGATTCAATAAATATTTTGAAATGAATTCATTTACAGAAGAATCAAAAGTAGGGCAGATTGTCCAAACTAGACTAAGAAACAGAATAGGGTGTTTTCCCATCAGCACGATTATAAATGAAATTCCTACATTTAACAGGAGGTTATATTAAAACCAGACCTTTTCTTTTTTTTTTTTTTTTTTTTAAGACAGAAAAACCTTGCTCTGTCGCCAGGTTGGAGTGCAGTGGCATGATCTCGACTCACTGCAACCTCTGCCTTCCAGGTTCAAGTGATTCTCCTGCCTCAGACTCCCGAGCAGCTGGGACTACAGGCACATGCCACCACACCCTGCTAATTTTTTGTATTTGTAATAGAAATGGGGTTTCACCATGTTGGCCAGGATGGTCTCATCTCTTGACCTTTTGATCCGCCCGCCTCAGCCTCCCAAAGTGCTGGGATTACAAGCGGGAGCCACTGCACCCAGCCAAAACCAGACTTTTAAACTCTCTTTCAACTCTGTATTTCCTTTCCCTATTTCCTACCTCCTGTACACATACCCTGTGTCAGACTTACCTCAGCCTCCCAAGTAGCTGGGACCACAGGTGCAAGCCACCATGCCTGGCTCATTTTTTGTATTTTTGGTAGATACAGGGTTTTGCCATCTTACCCAGGCTGGTCTTGAACCCCTGAGCTCAAGTGATCATCCCACCTCAGCCTCCCAAAGTGCTGGCATTAGAGGCATGAGCCATTGTACCCAGAGGCAAAATTGTTTTTATTTAAATATTGTTAATTTATTTTTAGGGGCAGGGTCTCATTGTGTTGCCCAAGCTTGTTTTGAACTCCTGGCCTCAAGCAATCCTCCTGCCTTGGCCTCCTAAAGTGCTGGGTTTATAGGCATGAGCCACCACACCTGGCCCCAAATAGCAAATTTCTTATAATTCCTCCAAAATGCCACTTAGCGTTAATCTTTACTAAATTTTCCAGAAGCCTACCAAGGCTGCCCTGTGGATTTCCTGAGCTACCTGCTAGAGCCGAGGATAATGGGTTTTATGTGGGGGCCCCTCTACTCCTCTCTAGTTCTCAAGGGCATAGGAAAGGCCAGAGTCCACCAGATTCACCCCAGAGGAATTCAGAGAGTGGGGAATTGGGAATCATGAGCATTGGCCTGGAGCTTTCAGATGCCAGAGAATCCTCCAGAATAAGGTAAAGGGTTATTTGAGGGGACAGCTGCTGTGATGGTTAATTTGGTATGTCAATTTGGTGAGGCTACATTACCCAGATAATTGGTTAAACATTATTCTAGATGTTTCTGTGAAGGTATATTGTCAATGAGATTAACATTTAAATCAGTGGGCTATGAGTGAAGCAGATTACCCTCTGTAAAGTGAGTTGGCCTCATCCAATCAGTTGAAGGCCTTAGAAATAGAAAAAGACTGACCTTCCCAAGCAAGAAACAATTCCGCCAGTAGACTACATTTGGGCTTTGCAGGAAGCCAGGCAGAAAAGGAGGAAACTGTGATTTAGTGTTACTGAGGAAACCCATGCACTGACAGATATGAAACACTCCTGGGAGGGGGTGGAGAGCACGTGGACTTTCTGCCATTTCAGGTAGGGTCAGAGTCCAAATAGATACATTGTCTTGTGACTTTTGAGGTTCTGGTTTTAGCCTGAAACCGCTGTAGGGTGTATAGAGGAGGATAAAGTAGAAAATGTCTAAGGTGGAATCAGGGTAAGGGAAGGTTTCCAGAAGGAGGTGGTATCGAAATTAAATCCTACACAAACTGAAGTTAGGTAAAGAGGAAGTAGTGGAATAAGGCAAGTTCAGAGTCACAAGTGGTGTTATAAAACCAGAGGCACATAGGTGAGGAGGATGGATAGGGTTAGTGAGAACTGAGGTTAGGGAATGTGTTGATCATACTGTCCAACTGGGTGTGGTGACTCATCTCTGTAATCCCAGCATTTTGGGAAGCTGAAGTGGGAGGATTGCTTGAAGCCAGGAGTTTGAAACCAGCCTGGTCAACATAGCCAAAGTAACAAAATTATCTGGGCATGGTACACACGGCAGTCCCAGCTAACCTGGAGGCTGAGGTGGGACAACTGCTTGAGCCGGGGAGGATGAGGCTGTACTTGGCTGCAGTCACTCCATGGCACTCCAGCCTGGGCAACAGAGTGAGACCCTGTCTCAAAAAGAAGAAAAACGAATGTACTGTTCATACCCTGACACTCCTTTACCACCTATGTGTTTATTTCCTATTATTCATCCTAGCTTGTGCCAAAGAGATAATACTGTATTCGATAGTCTTTATTTGAGCTCCTGAGTGTGGGGAGATAATTCTCTACAGGACTTGCAGGCTTCTGCACATCTAGGGAGCAGAGGCACTGACAACCTTTGTTCCAGATTATCTCTTTGGAAGATCGCGACTCCCTTTGGAGCAGAGGGCAGGTCTGTTTACCATCCACTGTAATGAAGATAATGTCTCCTTTCGGGCAAAGGTTGGGTTTCTTTAAGCTCAGTTTGCCTCAGCTGTGAGGCAAAACCTCTGTGTGTGTGGCATCTACCTGGACATCTTCACATTGCCCCATGGATCTTCAGGGTGTTGGCAAGGGGAACCGACCCAAACATGAGGCTTGTGTTCCTTGTGCTCTAAGTAGTAAAATCCTTTGCCTCTGAACCAGGAGCCTCATGTCTTCTGTAGGGGCCCATGACAACTGTGGCACAATAATCCTTTCCAGTTCTTGACACTAGGTATTTGTTTAAAAACAAACAAACCAGGGCCGGGCGCAGTGGCTCAAGCCTGTAATCCCAGCACTTTGGGAGGCCGAGGCGGGTGGATCACGAGGTCAACAGATCGAGACCATCCTGGTCAACATGGTGAAACCCCGTCTCTACTAAAAATACAAAAAATTAGCTGGGCATGGCGGGGGGGCGCGTGCCTGTAATCCCAGCTACTCAGGAGGCTGAGGCAGGAGAATTGCCTGAACCCAGGAGGCAGAGGTTGCGGTGAGCCAAGATCATGCCATTGCACTCTAGCCTGGGTAACAAGAGCGAAACTCCGCCTCAAAAACAAACAAACAAACAAACAAACAAAAACAGGATTACAGAATCCCAGCACTTTGCAGTCTGAGGAGGGCAGATTGCTTGAGGCCAGGAGTTCAAGACCAGCAACATGGCGAAACCGTGTCTCTACTAAAAATACAAAAATTAGCCAGGCGTACACCTGTAGTACCGGCTACTTAGGAGGCTGAGGTAGGAGAATCATCTGAGCCCAGGAAGTCCAGCTGCAGTGAACCATGATCATGCCACTGCACTCAAGCCTGGGTGACAGAATGAGACCCTGTCTCCAAAAGAGAAAAAGCAGACTTTCGCCATGTTGCCCAAGCTGGAGGGCAGTGGCTATTCACAGGCATGATGATCACACACTACAGCCTTGAACTCCTGATCTCAAGTGATCCTCCCACTCCAGCTTCCTGAGTACGTAAGACCCTAGGCATCTGCCACCTAGGCATTTGCCTCAGCTGTGAGGCAAAACCTCTGTGTGTGTGGCATCTACCTGGACATCTTCACATTGCCCCATGGATCTTCAGGGTGTTGGCAAGGGGAACCGACCCAAACATGAGGCTTGTGTTCCTTGTGCTCTAAGTAGTAAAATCCTTTGCCTCTGAACCAGGAGCCTCATGTCTTCTGTAGGGGCCCATGACAACTGTGGCACAATAATCCTTTCCAGTTCTTGACACTAGGTATTTGTTTAAAAACAAACAAACCAGGGCCGGGCGCAGTGGCTCAAGCCTGTAATCCCAGCACTTTGGGAGGCCGAGGCGGGTGGATCACGAGGTCAACAGATCGAGACCATCCTGGTCAACATGGTGAAACCCCGTCTCTACTAAAAATACAAAAAATTAGCTGGGCATGGCGGGGGGGCGCGTGCAAATACCTGGCTAGGTATTTGCCTTTTGGGAAGTGAAAAATTAGCTGTAGTTCTGTGTTGTTTATTATTATGATTTTTAACATATTCTCATGGTTGATGAGTCTTATCCACATGGTGCCCTACTATATAGTCCTGGCTTTACGCCAGCTGACTTATCCATATCCCTTCAAATATCAGAACACTTTGGCTTTTTATGAATCTGAGCTTCCTGTGGAAGTAGAGGGCATTCATATAAAAGGTGAATATCTTATTGAAATACAAATGCCAAAAAGCTCTGGGTTCCAGGCCAGGCAGTGCTCTGCTTGCCATATAGAGTAGGTTCTTAACTATGCAAAGGAACATAAACCAAGTTAAGATTTGAGGAGGCTCATGCCTGTAATCCCAGCACTTTGGGAGGCTAAGGCAGGGAGATCGCCTGAGGTCAGGAGTTCAAGCCTAGCCTGGGCAACACGGTGAAATCCCATCTCTACTAAAAATACAAAAAATTAGTCTGGCATGATGGTACATGCCTGTAGTCCCAGCTACTCGGGAGGCTGAGGCATGAGAATCGCTTGAACTTGGGAGGCAGAGGTTGCAGTTTGCTGAGATCATGCCACTGTACCCCAGCCTGGACAACAGAGTGAGACTCCATCTAAAAAAAAAAAAAAAAAAAGACTTGAAGACATTGTGATCCAAGAAGAAATGAGACAGAGGTGATAGTAGCCAAACAGGATTTGGCCATGAGATTATTCTAACCATGACCACTTTAGGAATGGACAAGGTAATATAACAGAAAACCCTGTCTATAGGCACCTTATATTACCCTCTTAAATATCTCCTTATTCAGATCATCAAAACTGTAACCTTAACAGAGGAAGTTAATTTATCATTTAGAAGCAAGTGTTAACTTTTTAGCCTTCAACCTGGTCAATATATTCCACTGAATTATAGAAATGAATATAAACTATTATTTAAACATTTTAGATTAGTAAAGAGAAGATCAGGGCCAGGCATGGTGGCTCACACCTGTAATCCCAGCACTTAGGGAGGCCGAGGTGGGCGGATCACCTGAGGTCAAGAGTCTGAGACCAGCC